AAAAAAAAGATTGATTTACTACCAAAGACAACTGCTGTTTTCTTTTTAGCCTATTTCCTTCACCCTTTTTTGATGGCAAATACTTTATTTGAAAAGGCATTTTGGCAATTCTGAATTCCTAGCAATCAATCTTTAGACCAGAGGTTCTCCACCTGTGGGTCGTGACTCACAGCAGCTGTATTAAAGTGTTGTGGCATTAGGAAGGTTGAAAACCACTGCTCTAGACTTTTATAAGTAAGCACATCAGAAAAGCTCTCAGAGCACATAGCTCTTTGAAAGTTATTGATTTCAACATTGGTCCTACTGTTGTCTAGCTGGGATTGTTCTTCTATAATAAGAATTTTCCTGCTTTTGTGAGGAAGCAAAAATTGTTTTCTGAGAAAATGTGATTTACCTGACATATAACCTATGCTTTGAAGGAGCTCACTTAGGTGGTAGCAGGTCCCAGAAGGCCCTGTGACCTGAGGGAAGTAAAGAGAGGAGGAATTTCAGATGGGCTTACAAAATATAGTCTGAGGGATAAGTATTCCCATCTGGCAGGATGTTGGAAGTGTTGTCCTTTCCCTGGGTAAGATATACATGTTTTCACTTTTTTCTCCAAATGTCTGCATAACTATTTTAAAGGATATATATGAAGTTTTTGTTGTTATTGTTTTTAATAACAATTCCCTTTTTAATAGAAATCCCTGAGATTCTGCATTCAGGAGCCTTATATTGAAACAACACTCTGTTCAAATATATTTAAGCCAGTATTATTCTTTCTCAAAAGATATTTGGGAAATGGGGTAGAAAGACTTGTCATTGTGCAAATTAAATGTGACAAAATGCCTAGTTGGGAAACCTGTGATGAATAGTACTTTCTTTTAAAATAGGTTAAAGGAAGATGGAAGTGGAAGTGCTTATGACAAAGAATCTATGGCAATTATCAAGCTGAATAATACAACTGTCCTTTATTTAAAGGAGGTGACTAAATTTTTGGCACTAGTCTGCATTCTTAGGGAAGAAAGCTTTGAACGAAAAGGTAATGGCATTTTGAAAAGCTGTTTTTGTGTTTAGTTTTTTGCCATAATTTCTCAGGTTCTTGAAAATGAGAAAATAATATTACAGTGTTTGACAAATGGTTATCTTTAAGAAGCATCTAGCTCAAACTACTTTTGTCCCTTCTCCTACATAATATAGTCCTATTTTGTGTCTTCTTTTGATCTTTAATTTTAAATCATGTTTTTTTTTCTTTTGAGACAAGAGTCTCGTTTTGTTTCCCTTGGTAGAGTGGTGTGTCATCACAGCTCACAGCAACCTCCAACTCTTGGGCTTAAGCGATTCTTTTGCTTCAGCTTCCCTAGTAGCTGCGACTATAGGCGCCCGCCGTAATGCCCGGCTTTTTTTTGTTGTTGTTGCCATTGTTATTGCTATTTTTTAGCTGGCCGGGGTTGGATTCGAACCTGCCACCCTTAGTATGTGGGGCTGGTGCCCTACCCACTGAGCCACAGGCACCACCCTTAGATCATGTTTTTTATTCTAACCTCTCTTACTTCAGATCCTTTCATTACCTGTTTAGCTGCCTACAATTTGGCTTTCATCTGAACCAGTTTACTGAAACTTCCTTGAGAGATTACCAAACTACCTTCTTGCTGTGGTCAGTGGCCTCATTCTGCGGCCTCTTCAGCCTTCTGAAGCAGGTCATTCCCACTGTTCTTGAAGCTTTGTTCTTCTTTTACATCCCTAATGCCAATTTTTGGGGGGTTATTTTGTGTGTTTGTTTCTCTGACCACCTCTCTTGTTTCTTCTGGCTGTTTTTCTTTTTCTCTTTCCTGAGTGTTGGCCATAGCCAAGTCTTTTTGCTCATTTACTCACTAGGTCAACCTATCCAGTCCCTGGATTTAGTTAATCTTCTGTGTGTGTGGCTGAGTCTAGTGGCTCATGCCTGTAATCCTAGCACTTTGGGAGGCCAATGTGGGTGGATTGCTTGAGCTCAGGAGTTCTAAGACCAGCCTGAGCAAGAGTGAGACCCCCATCTCTTAAAGAAAATAGCTGGACATTGTGGCAGGCACCTGTAGCCTGGCTACTTGTGAGGCCAAGGCAGGAGGATCATTTGAGCCCAAGAGTTTGAGGTTGCTGTGAGCTATGATGCCATGGCACTCTACACAGGGTGACAAAGTGAGGCTCTCCCTCAAATTAAAAGAAAAATCTTCTGTATGTGATTGATTGAAAAGTTCACATTTCTACCTTTAACTTGGGCGCATGTTCCAGTCCTGTGTTTGGAACTTTCAGTGAGACATCTTCCCTAAATATCTGATTGTTCTTGGGCATCATGTCCATCATTGGTTGACAGTTGTTTCCCCTGTTTTGTAACTTTCCTCGCTTCCCTACTTCTGTCACTAATTATGCCATTTTTCTCCTGTCCAATCTTAAATATTTTATATTCAGGTAATTGTTGTAGTTGCCAAAGGTGCCCTGGCAGATCCATTCACAGAGGGGATTTCGTGTTCTCCTTTTTTTGTTCTTCTATGTCCTATAGATTGAACTTTCACCAAATCTTATTGTTTTCTTGGAACCGTTTCTTGGGTTTCCTTTCCATTTCCATTGTCATTGACTTCAGTCCATGTCCTCATCCCTCCAGGTCTGTGTTTCTATACTAACCTACTTGATAATAGCCATGCATTTGACATGTGTATGGAGGGCTTAGTATGCAGGGTGGCCATAAAGTTTGTGTACAACTATTTAAATTGCACACAAACTTTATGGCCACCTTGAATATCATCTTTTATTGCAAAGGAAGATTTGTTTTCAGAAAATTTATCATATTATTTAACTACTCGGGAATCTACAGTAGCTCTCTATTAATTACTGCACTAAGTCTCCCTAGTCTTCTCCCTGAGTTTTTAATGAATTATTTTAGATATACATTTTTTTGAATAAAACATGTCTATTCATAATTGAGCTTAAGAACTAACACATGACAAATATAGTTGAAGTCTTCTGTGTATTTCTCTCAGTTGAAATTTCTTCCTTTGCACTGTGTGTCTTATTTTTTCTGTGGGTGATTTATTCTTTTACTTCATACCTATCCCTAAACAATATAGAGTCCTGTGTATCTTTGTATTAATATCAGAATATTAGCAGTCTTTTGCAACCTACTTGTTTCTCTTAATTCAAGGTTGCTTTTGGGATTCATCCAGGTTGATGATTTGTGGCTCTAGTCATTCGATTTCATTGCCACATAGTATTCTACGGGCTGAATGTACCACAATTTATTTTCTTATTGCTGGACATTTAGATTATTTAAAAAATTACAAATAGTTCTGTAATAGATGCTCATGGATAAATTTGCCTTTGTGGATGTGGAGAATTTTTTAGGGTAAGCATTTAGGAGTGGAATTTACAGAGTACATGTATCTTTGATTTTAATAGACATTACCAAACTGTTCTCTGAATGTCTTTACCACTTTCTACCCTTGACAGTATCGTATGGACTATGTATCCTTGATAATGCTTGATATTGTCAGTCTGGTAAATGTGAAAGGGCATCTCATTCTGTTACCATTTTTATTTAATTACTGGTTAGGGCAAGTGTCGTTTTATGGCAAACATCATTTCATGGCTGTTCACTTTTCTTCTTTAGCAATTTACCTGTTTACATGTCTTTATCTTTTTTGTACTGATTCTTAGAAGTTCTTTATTTTCCTCCATTTTAATTTAAAATGTTTTTGAACTTGTGGTTATGGAAAATTTCTGATGTACACAAAAGTAGACCAGCACAGTGAATCACCATGTACTCACCCTTGCTTTAACTTTCATCCTCTTATATTTAGTTTTGTTTCCTGGATAACCTTTTCCCAAATTAGGTTTTTTTTTTACTTGTTTTTGGTAGAAATTGTCAAACATAGAAAAAAGTAGAGAAAATAATGTAATAAACCTCTTTTTCTGTATCATCTAGATTCAGCAATTACAAAAATTATATCCAGTCTTATTTCATATTTATATCATTTTTTTCTACTGGATTATTTTGAAGCCGATCCCTGACATTAAATCATTTTGCCTATGTAGATTTCAGTAAGATCTCTAAAATGTATTGTTTTTTGAACATAACAATATTAACATTAAGAAATACAAAAAATTAATAGTGATTTAATGATACCAAATTATCTGGTCAATATTCAAATTTCCTTGATTATCAGTTTTATAATTTTCACAGAAATCAGTTTCAAAGTAGTTGAATTAATCAAAACTTGTCTTTCATAGTCTTTTTGCCTAAAGCACCCCCTTAATTTGGCTCTAACCTATGCAGACTTGATTCTCAGTACTTCATAGCTCGAGTTCCCTGATACCCGTCTCTCCAGTCAGTCCATTTCTTTTCTGTCCTCCACCTGTGCTGTGTTCTCACTGCTACCTCTCTGCAATTCTCTTGTGATTTTGCTCCCCTTTTCTGCCTTAATGAAATCTGGCCTATATCCTCAAAGTTCTTTCTTATACCTGAAGCTTTCATTGACTCTTTGCCCTGCACTTGGCTCTCTCTTCTTTGGACTTCTTTCATATTTGTAGTCAATTTGACGCCAGATTGTTTTGATTTGTTTCTTGTGTCTTGGCTTTATGCCCCAGCTAGCATATCCTGGAAGACATGGACCAGATCTGCTGCTTCCTTTGACACATTGTATTCTCTGTCATGCTGTTCAACAAGTATTTAATGACTTTTATCAAATCATTCTGTGTTCAAACAGGCCACAGCATATTTACTTTTCTTGCATGTGAATTGAGTGATTTGAAACTTGGATACCAGAGATGTTAATTTGGTCAAGGTGATAGTTAAATTGTACATTTGTCATGGAGCAGGATGTTGTGATGGTGGATATATATGATGGCTTATGTTCTTATAACTGAAGAGGTTGCTATGTAGTTTAGAGGTCTAAGGGTTTCAAGAAGTATTTATCAGTCAGGACTAGGTTTGATTAATCCAGATTGTTATTTGGTAACCCCAAATAATAGTACCTTAAACAAGATGGAAGTTTATGACCCTCTCAAATTAAAGAAATCTACAAGTTTACAGTGTAGGACAGCTAAGGCACTTTTCCTGGTGCCCTTGAGCACATGGGTGCTTCTCTTCCCTCTATGCTATTCTTAGCACTGGCGCTATTCTCAAGATTACCTCCTGGTACATATTGGCTCCGGAAGCTCCAGCCATCTTATCTTTATTCTAGACATTAAGAAGGAACAGCAGGAAGAAAGACTATATCCTTTTCTTCTTAAGGAGAGTTCGCAGAAGTCTCACACCTTCCCCCTTCTTTCATTGGCCATAGTTGGTCATGTGGTCATATCTATCTGCAAGGAAGACTAAGAAGTATAATGTTTTCCCAATGTGCTCAACCAAAATTGGGGTACTGATTCAAACGAAGAAGGGGAAAAGTGGTTATTTGGTAGGCAACTAGCTGTCCTATCACAAAATAGAAGCATTTGTTCACCTAAAATCTTATGTGGAAGCCCAGTTCAGTGAACAGATGAAAGCTTGCCTGCCTGAAGGGGACAAGGGGTGTGCTGGCTGCCTGAAGCTCTGCCTGTTGGGGCTCTCTGCTCCTTACTAGACTCCAGGGTTTTTCTGAGCAGTTTGTTAAACTGCTGCTCTGCCATTTCCTTCAGCTCTTCATTGGCTATCCCAGAGACTGGTAAAAGGAAAGCCTGGTATTTCAAAAGGTATTTTACCTTGACTTCAGATTATATTGTAAATTTTTTTAGTAAATTCACCTAATTACTGAAATTGACTGCCCATCATGTCCTCTCTTAGGCCCTAAACGATTCACCAGTGTTAGCAGTTTGAGTATGATTTATCATGTTTCCAATGTAGAGAATTCCTCAGTGTGAGTGTATGTTTGTTAGTACACAATGATTTTTTTTTATCACCAAATATTTTCTAATAGATAATTTCACAATTGACATTGAAGAGGTGTGTTTTTTTTTCTCTCCTGCAGGTTTAATAGACTACAATTTCCACTGTTTCCGAAAAGCTATTCATGAGGTTTTTGAAGTGGGTGTGACTTCTCACAGGAGCTGTGGTCATCAGACCAGTGCCCCTGGCCTGAAAGCATTGACACACAATGGCACACCTCGAAATGCCATCTAGTTTGAATCCCAGCGTTGGGGCTCTGTGCCAGCTTACTCTTCACTCCAGGGTCAGATGCCGTGTGCTACAGGACATGGGAGCTGCTGCTTATGGGAATCTGGTGCCTGTTCCACTAGAGACAAGGGGTAGAGTTTCTCATTTGAATGAAAACCCCTTCAACCGGTGGTGTACAACTGAACCTACTATTTCTTTGTTGAAAAATGGCAAAAAAAAAAAAAAAATTCTAGAGACAACAGAACTCAAGTTTATCTTTTTCCTCTTTTGGGTCCTATGTTAAGTAGTTGGGATATTTTGGACCTGGAGATAACACCAATTACCCATCCTTACCAGGGAATGTTGCTGTCAATTCCAGCTGAAAATCATAGAAAAAACTGAATTTTTATATGCTTCACTTAGGCTTTTTTTTTTTTTTTTTTGAGTATTCTTTAAAGATCTTGCCTTGCTTAAGTTCTAACACTGCCTCTCAGATTTCAATTTTGGACCTTGCTCATCTAAGACTTTTTAAATGCGTTTGCTTGCTAACTCAGAAGACACCTAGTCGGACTGCAGCAAAAGACATTCCTGTATTTGTTATTGAAGAAATGAGAGACAGTTTTATCCCTGCATCAGGTGGAAAGCAAGGCTCAACAGTGGCTGCGTTAGTTCACTTGGAAGTGTTGAGGAAAAAACCTTGAAACAGAAGAAATTTTCACACCTGTTAATTTGAGTACCAGATGTCTGGGTTCTTCAGCATTAGATAAAATGGTGATATTCAAAGGGAATTTTAAAAAAAATTGTTTTTCCCACAGCCACCTTCTAGGGGAGAAACTCAATATGTCATTGAAATGTTTAGCTTACTTTACTCTGATCTTTTTTTTTAATGCCTAAATCCATGTATTCTGAAAAAAGAAGCATGATAAATGGGAGCCTCATCAGCAGGGTGCCACAGCAACCTCGCTGCATCCTTCTTCTCTACCATGACACCAGTTGACAAGTTTCCCAGCCCTATATAGTTATTAGAATCCTTTCTGCGTTTCTTTCTCTTTTTTTTGGAGACAGAATTTCACTACATTGCCCTCAGTAGAGTGCCATGTGTCCCAGCTCACAGCAACTTCAAACTCTTGGGGCTTAAGTGATTCTCTTGCCTCAGCCTCCCAAGTAGCTGGGACTACAGGCACCTGCCACAAATGTCCAGCTATTTTTTGGTTGTAGTTATTGTTTAGCAGGCCCGGGCCAGGCTCAAATCCACCACCTTCAGTGTATGTGGCTGGCACCCTATTCACTGAGCTACGGGTGCTGAGCTGTCTCCCCATTTTTTTAAAGGTCTTTAAAAAAGACCTTCACCCCTCCTCCCCATTTGCCTGTTCCAGCCTCCAGTATGACACAAGGAATGACCCTACCCCCCAGTATACAAAATACTACTATGCTCGCTCCTTCTCGGGTGTGGCTTTCTCTGCACCCTCCTTCGTCAGAGGAACCTTCAGTCCATCTTTTCCAGGGTTGGCTTTTAGGCTCATCTGGTCCTGCAGCTGCTGTTCCTGATGTCTGGTGGCTTCCAAGAGCGCCTGGATCTGCAACTCCTGGCAGGCCATCTCTGCTTACATTGCGCCCTGAGCTTTGTCTTGCTGCAGCTGCTCCATGGCCAACTCTGACGTCAGCTGCTAAGAACTTTTGGAGGAAGATCACTGGTCTCGCTTGTGCTGCAGAATCTTTGCCTCTTCGTTCTTCAGCTCCACTTACAGGAAGACCCTGGATGTGAGGGCACATGATGGCCTGCTTCCAGATTTCTGAGCCCATAAATGGGAGTGGGGCTTGGGGGTTAGGCAATTGTCTGTGTTCTCGGTTCTGGATGTGCTCTTGGCTGAAGATTGAGCAGTCCCTCCAAAGCAAGGCAAGCGTGGAACAAAGTGGAGGAAGCAAAAGATAGGTTTACAGAGGGAACAAGAGCAAGGTAATAGGTTTACAGAGCAAGATAATGTTAGCCATAGACAATGACCAGGCCTCTTTGTCATGAGGAAGGAAAAGGCCACTTTTCTTTAATCTTGATATCAGTCTTTTTTTTTTAATGTGGTTTTTCCTTTATTTGATGCTTTGAGGGAGCCATTTTTATTTTTATTTTATTTTTGTGAGACAGAGCCTCAGGCTGTCTCCCTGGGTCATGGCATCACAGCTTATAGCAACCTCCAACTCCTGGGCTCAAGCGAGTCTCCTGCCTCAGCCTCCCAAGTAGCTGGGACCACAGGTGCCTGCCACAACGCCTGGCTATTTTTGGGTTGCAGCTGTCATTGTTGTTTGGCGGGCCCAGGCTGGATTTGAACCTGCCACCTTAGGGTGTATGTGGCTGGCGCCTTAGCCACTTGAGCCACAGGCACTGAGCCTTGATATCAGTCTTTACATACTTTCTTTTCTAAGCTATTGGGATTCTTTAATGCTGTTTGTTGATCATGTATGACCCTAAGGCAGTGGTGGATTGTCTACTGGGTGTTGGAAAGAGCGCCGGTGCCACAACATACGTGTAGTTTTACATCCTTTGTCTCCAGTATTCTGACTCCAAAGTGTCAGCTGTGGTACTTTGTTTGGCTAGGATATTAATTCATAATTACTGCTTTTTGTGGATGGTTTGATGCCCTTTCCATTGGTTTAACTTACACATTATTTTTATTCCACATGCCCAATAGTCATATATTCCAAAGCCACTGGACCACTTGAGTACATAAGTGCCACTGTTAAATGCAATATGTATATTCAGGTCTGTAAACCTAACAGTGTGACTTGGAGTGCTTCCTGCAGGTGATTCTGACTGTTGAGTATTTACATGGACCATGGTGATATCCAAAAGAAAAATGCTTTTATATTTATAGATTATTTCATTGAACCATATATAAAATGGGTATCAATAAATGTATTTACTCCAGAATCAGTATTTTTACTTGTGTAAGTTGTGAGAGGGTGGGGTGATGGAACACTGGGCTGTCCCACCATATCGTTTTCTTCGGCTTTCTCATGCGATTAACATTCCTTATGTGCCAGGGCTTAAGTTCTGTCCTGATGTGGGGAATTTCATGGCTTTGTGTCTAGGACTCTTCCCCTGGGCCATTTTTGCATTAGGGTAGGAGGTCTGGGTCCAGGTGAAAATGATTTTGGCTGGTATTTCATATCAACAAATCTCACTCATAGTCAGGGGAATATCCAGGGCCTGGCTTTGTTGTATCCAAGCTAATAACAGTGAAGTAGCACATACTTAAAAAATTATCAATTCCAAGTTTTTCGGTTTTTCCAATTCCTGAGATACACGTTATTGACCATTAAAGATCTGTTAAATCATTTATCTGTATAAATGCCTAGGTAGGATAAATACAGTTTATCAGTGGGAGGATGATATAGGTATGTAGAGGTTGAAAGTTTTTATCCTTTTTTCTTTTTTAGACAAGGTTTGTTTCCCAGACCAAGAGCGGTGGCATGATCTTAGCTCATTAAAACCTCAGACTCCTTGGTTAAAGTGATCCTCCCACCCCAGGCTCCCTAGTCCGGCTACTTTTTAATTTTTTGTAGCCATGGGGACCTTACTGTGTTATCCAGGCTGGTCTTGAACTCCTGGTCTCAAGTGATCCTCCTGCCTTGGCCTCCCAAAGCACTGGGGTTGCAGGTTTGAGTCCCTGTACCCTGCTGATAGATTTTGTAGTTAAACTACTTTGGAAATTCAGTTTTAAAACTCTGAAATGGAAATCACAGGAACAGTTTGAAAAAACTCTTAAAATCTTACCACCATTTTCACATTATGGAAACTGAGGTCCAGAGGGGTAGCAAAGCCTTGTTGAAGCTTGTAGTTGGCAACTGTATATTTAATAACAAACTCCTAACCAGATACTGATGAGAGTGGAAGGGATTCATTGATGATGCCACAGGTGTGAACTGGCACAGTTTCAGGTGTACTGAGCATGGTTAACCTCATTGTAGATGTACTTAGACCAGTGTTTTTCAACCTTTTTTTATCTCAGCACACTTGAACCTATAGTTAAACTTTCATCGCACACTTAAATTATATTGATCAAAACAGTAAAAAATAAAAAGACTATACTTACTATGCTTTGAACTTCTTTGGAAAATAATTTAATTAATCTTTAAAAATTTTCGAGGCACACCTAAGATCCTCTCCTGGCACACCAGTTGAAAATCACTGACTTAAGAGGCTGCCTACCTTTACCTTCAGCAGATTCAAGCTCCCTTTGGTTCAATGGAGATAATGTTTCGTGATGTATATGCTATATAGGTGCCCAATAAATGTTATTTTTTCCTACTCACTGAAAATTATAAATTCAAGGAGGGATGAAGGAGAAAAACTCAGAAGTGGTAAAATAAAGTATGGAAAGGAGGCAACTCAGGAAAAAGAAAATGGAAGAATGCTATAAAACCATTAAGGGGTTTCTAGCACTCTGGGAGGCTGAGGTGGCAAGACCCTATCTTGACTAAAAATAGAAAATAGCTGGCTGTTGTGGCAAGTGCCTGTAGTCCCAGCTGCTTGGGAGGCTGAGGCAAGAGGATCACTTGAAACCAAGAGTTTGAGGTTGCTGTGAGCTATGATGCAATGGCACTCTACTGAGAGTGACATAATGAAATGGCCTCAAAGAACTAAAGGGGGGTGGGGAGTTGCCTGAAATGTTTTGCATCAGAATGGATGTAGCAGGTATTTCAAAGTATTTTAGCTATTTCACATATCACTACCTCTTTTTACTACACAAACATACGTACACAATATTCCTTTATAGAATGCTGGAGGTATTTGTGTTTGTGTTACTTTACCTTCTACATTTTGAGTTTATTTGTAAAGAGAGAAATGTAAAAGATAAAATTTACAAGCTTTGTTGGGGAAAGCACTGGGTGTGATCTGTGGAGTTTCGTAAGGCTATTTGTCCTGTTTTGTTTTGCAAGTGCTAAAAGCTCTTCCAATTATTCAAAAGATTATTAGTGGATATTGTTACTGTTTCCCATCTCAGCTAGTAGAGTAACTTTACTCTCCTTTACCCACTTCCCCACAGTCGGGCATAGCTGAGTATTTCTGTGAATGGTAGCTTCCCTGCACTGTTTCACCAGAGTTTGGAGACAGTAGACACAAGTAACAATCCAAGAAGGATGTGAAGAGATAGCTAATACTAATTATTTTAGGTAGTTTGTATGTATTACCTCATGTAATCTTCACAGCACCTTGTGAGGTGGGTACTAAATCCCTGTGTTACAGATGGGGAAACCGAGATACAGAGAAGCTCGATTGTAAGTGGTAGAGTTACCATTGGAATCCATGCAGTTTGATTGCAGAGCCTGCATCCTTCAACCACCACTTACTTGACCTTTCTTATTAGGGAAGGAGGGTTCTCACATGTTTGCAGAAAAAGGGTTCTGTAGTTAAATTTTGGAAACATGCATTCTATAGTCTCTTTTTTGGAGATTTACTGTGTATAGTCAATAAAGGCCCTGAAAATGACCTGCAATAAAGAAGCCTGTTTGCCTGGTTTATCACTCATGTTTCTGAGTTTATTTGACTTTAAGATATATGTATTCAGGCTCTGCGCCCATAGCACAGTGGTTACGGCGCCAGCCATATACACCTGGGCTGGTGGGTTCGAACCCAGCCAGAGCTAGCTGAACAACAATGACAGCTGCAACAAGAAAATAGCTGGGCATTGTGGCTGGCGCCTGTGGTCCCAGCTATTTGGGAGGCTGAGTGTAGAATATTGCTTGAGCCCAGGAGTTTGAGGTCGCTGTGAGCTGTTATCCTACAGTATTCTACTGGGGGTGAGACCTCTGTCTCACAAACAAATGGATATGTATATTCAAGCAGTGTATAATAAATACTTTATTGAAACATTTTAGGTGAGATTGAAAGTATGATTTTTATATTATTTTCATGTAACCATCACCAAACTGGTTTCTTGGTTGGCTAGTTCAGCATCTCTTTTTAGGTAGTAATGAGGAGGCATATTTGGATACTCTAGCATTTCTTCAGTATCCCATTATTGAGGAAACGTCTTTATTCATTTAAACTGCCTCTTACCCAACCTTTGTTGTGAAGGCGGTG